CTTGGCCCTGGAGAGCGGGCTGCAGACAGACGGTCCCATGCTAGGGGGCGCCGAGCAATTTTCTCCTAAAAAATAAGTCTGGGATCCTGGCGACCCACACTGGGGGAGGGGACACACAGTCATCGGAAGGTCACGCTTCAGCATAGCTTACTGCACGTGTGCCTAGGCATCCCGGGAACACCGTCAACAAGAGTCACTCCTGGGACTCAGGGAAGGTTCTGGATGTAGGCACGCAGCAGAGGGCGTCACCGGGCCCTGCCTGCCATCCGGACCCGGGGAGTGGAGGGCGCTCTCGGCAGGCTCGGCATGAGTCCGGGCCGGTATCCTCAACGTTCAACGAACCCCCTCCCACTCGGCACCAGCGCCCTCCTGCTGCTGGTCCCCGGACTCACTCTGAGCTCCCAGCAGGTCACAGACGTGACCGCAGGTGAGGGGACGCCCATCCCAAGATGACCAATGCCTCGCCTCGCCTGTGGAGGGGCTCCGCCCGGCCGGTGAAGCCCTTCAGAGGCCTGTTAATGGGATGCCTTTAGCTCAGATGGATTGCGAATACAGGCAGTTTCATCCACTAAAAGAAGACATCCATCAGGCCGAGAAGAGAGCGGCTGTAGAAGGTTATCACCACACAGCCCCCGTGAAAGGCCCGCCTCGGAGCATTAGCGGAATGGATCCATCTTTCATAAGAGCTCGCCGCGGCACCGTGATCTATGGTAACAACCAATTTCTCACCACGGGCAAAGGGAAAAAAATGACCCGGCCTGATCGACTACACAAATCTGCTTTCTAAAAACGACCTCCCATTATCTGGAGTGCCGCTCCCCGAGGCCCCATTGGGGTGTATGCTGAGCCAAGTGTGCCCATAAATCAGCAGAGGGAGTTTTGTTAGTTTTATATGCAGCAGGCTGTAATTATTTGGAATTGCATTATGCCGCCGTCATTGTAATTACATTTAGATTATCCGTAAGTGATAGTAATAAAAGAAAGAGAAATCAGTCTTGAACCAATTCCCTCCCCGAAAATGACCAGCAAAGTGGAGGTTCCATGGAAAGGGACGGAAGGCAGGGCGGCGAGTAGCAGGAGCCAGGCAAGGGCCCTTCCCCCAGCACCCCAGGCCACAGCCACGGGGCAGTCCTGTTCTGGGGGCCTCCCCGGGCACACAGCCGTCTCACCTGCACGCAAGGACATGTGTGTGGTTTGGGCGTTTAATGACGACCGTGTTTTTGCCGGCACATTAGCGTGTCATGATGTGAGACCTGGCTTCCTTTGCCTTCCCAGGCTGAAGGACACAGGACACAGGATGCGGGTGGGCTAGTTTCACGCAGCGTGTCCACAGCCACAGGAGCGGGGACAGACGAGGTGTGGGAGGAAAGTGCCACCTCCCACAGCTCAGGCGTGTTGGAGGGAACCACCACCCAGCAGGGCACAAAGGCTCCTTGGGGGCCCTGGTCTCACCCTGTGCCCACCAGAGGCCATCCTCAGCCGAGAGCCCCCAGGGCCTGGCCAAAGTCTGCTAAGCCAACTGGGGACTGAAGGCAGGGAGCTGCAGACTGGGCGCAGGAGGGTAAGGAGCTGGGGACTCGGGATGCAGGGGAGGAGACAGCAGGTGGGGAAGGGGTGGGGGTGGACTCCAGGTCCCCAAAGGCACATCAGATCAAGGGCAGGCACAGGCAGGGAGGGACAGACACATTCTCTGTCCGGCCCACCCCAGTCCAGCCTGGCTGTCATCACTGGTCTCGGGAATCTCAAGGCAGTCTGTGGCTGACCAACAGGGCTCTACGGGCTATGCCCAGTTTCTACATGTTCCTGCCAGTCCCCAAGGCCCCTGATGTGCTCTGCTGTGCCTACCCTAGAGCCCCCTCCCCACTGAAACACCTTCCTCCCTGAGTCCCTCCTCACTCAGCCAGTCTTCAGCGAGGACTCCCTCACTCAGCTCTCCCTTGCCTTCGCCGGCCCTCACGGGCTCCCAACCCCGCCCAATGGACCACACAAGCCACGCAGCTGGACACTGAGTTGAGGAGGGAAGAGGGAAGTGCCCACGATGGGACCCCCGGGACAGCAGCTCCCTGGGCCACACGCCCCAGGGCCTGGACAACCCAGGGTGGTGTGAGGGGAGGACAGGCAGAGCCGGGGACAGTGCCAGGGCCCCCTGGAGCCAGCGGAGGAGAAAGCTGCAGGACAGCAGAGTGTGACCCCAAGTAAATGCCCCTCTATGACTCGAGCCTCGAGGAGACCCAGGTGGTCACGCTGCCCCTCCCGCCCGGCACCGTCTCTGAGTGGCCGCCTCTGGTTCCTGGGTGAGAGACAGTGGCTCTCATGGCCCCCACCAGGGTCGGCTACAGGGAAGACCTGCCTGGGTCAGGATCAGGACAGAAACTGATCTCCCCGGGGACGTAGCGCCACACCTCTGATGCCAAGTCAGAGCCGATGTGATGGCAGGGCTCTGACAGAGGGCAGTGCAGGCAGGTGAAGCCCACCTCAGCCAGAGAGGACGGCCTGAGTGGTGACGACGCAGACCACATCAGACCACAGGTCGTGGACCATACCGTAGGAACCCCCTCAGGGCATACCAATGGGCTGGGTGACGCAGCTGTGGGAATCGTGTCAGGGCACAGGCAGCCTTGGTGATTGCACTGGGTGGTCACGGGGACTCTGCCCCACTCCCTGCCCTCTCTGGGCTCAGGGCAGAGGAGCGAGCAGGCCTAGGACCAGAAGTAGGGCCAAATGGCAGGGCCTGGCCCAAATGAGAATGGAGACCAACTGCTTACACTTGTCCTTGGCTCAGGGTACAATCAATGAGGAGGCCGCACGCCGAGGTGGCAGGAGCGCCATCCTTCACAGAGCTGCCATAGCCCCCTCACAGGAGCTCAGCCATAAAGCAAGTTAATAAAGCTGTGGCCTTGCTGGAGATCAGCTCCGTGCCCGGGTCCGCCTGGCCTCGCGTGGCAAGTCCGGGAAGATCGGTGGGGCCATCCTTCTTGTGGCGGAGCAGACAGAAGCCGGAGTGGCTCTCCTATATCACAGCACCACTGAGACGCACCCCAAGTGTGAGCACCACCTGCAGACACAGGGCTGCACTTCCTCAGTGCCACCACCTGAGCCCTAAGGAGCCTCCGCCGACAGAGGAGACACATCCAAAATAGAGGAGGGAGGGACTCCATAAAGCTTGTTACGATGTCCCCCCAAAAGTGGCAGAGTCCAAGCTGGGCACAGCAAGAACGCCTTGTGAAGAAACACCACACCCACCCACCACCCTCGCCAATCATGTGCACACGCACACACAGAGAACAGGTACACACCCACCACACCACCCACCACCCTCACCAATCATGTGCACACGCACACACAGAGACACATTCACAGACACACAGGTACATACCCACTACCCCCACACAGAGATGTTCATACACATACCACACAGACACATACCACATGTACGCTATACACACTCCACACACATTTACACACACCAACCCACACACATTTACATGGAGACATGCACCACATACACGTTCACACATACACCTCACACTCAGACACATACACCCACACCACACGCATACACACACACACACACACACACACACATCCACCCATACATCAGTCACATCCATACATACCAGACCAGATCACCAGAGATGCATTTCAAACACACACAACATATCACACACACATCCCAAGCACAAACACCACACCCATCCACCCACATTCACACACACCAGTCCACTACACATAAATTCAGATACATCTCAAACACACACCACACACAGACACCCACACCCACCACACATGTAGTTCACACACATTCAGAGACACCCTCCCACTATACACACATTCTCAGACAGACACACCCACGAACACTCTCACTTTACACACACCCACACCCACTCACTATCCCCACCACATGCATCATTGAGGTAGGTGGTTTAGTGTGCCGACCCGGCCAATGAACACGTGGGGTTAATGGAAGGGCGGAGGGATAAATGGCTCGGAGAGCCTGGCCTTTCTTGTCTCTTGGTCTTTGCTCATCGGACCAGTGTGCAGCTGCCTTGCTTGTTCTGTGCCTCAATGTGCAAGCGACACTCTACCTGTGTGACCCCTAACCTGTGGACTGTGTCGCTGTGATTTTCGGTTCCTTCAAAACCTGCTTCGCCACACCACTGGAATTTACATCTCTTGACCTGGGGACTGTTGGGCCCTGTGATCTGGCTGACTGTTGGTGACCTGCCTTGCTGTTTGCTGCCTGTGCCCGGATAGCCTGAATTGCTCTACAGAGGACTACCCAGCGGCCCTCAAGACTTGAAGGACTGCCAGTGTCTCACAACTGTCTCACTGAGTTGAGTTTCACTGAGCCATTTGTACTGCTTTATAATTTAACTGTTTATTCCTTATGTTACATATCTATCTATCTGTATAAATATATATATATATATATATATATATATATATATATATATATACACACACACACAGATACATTTTGTTTCTCTAGAGAACCCTGTCTAACAAAATCATTTACATTGACACATACACATACCACACACACCTGCCATGCACACTCATTCACACACAAAGAAACACACTACACATACATTTAGACGCATGCCCGCGCGCGCGCACACACAGCACACAGACATAGCCCCCTGCACACACACTCAAATATAAGCACACCAGAGGAAACCCAGGGGCACTCTCAACATCTCCCAACTGTCTCCAAGGAGGTCCACTTGGTCCATCCAGTGACTTCAGCACCCTGTGGGGTCAGTGTGGCCCTGCCACCTCAGGTCACTCAGCACAATGGGCAGAAAGAAGCCTGTGGGGAGCGCCCTAGCCCACCACAGGCACCCGGCCAGGCCTGAGAGCACCCCGGCACTGCAGCAGCACCTCAGGAAAGTAGTCCTGGGGGAACTTCTCCTTCTCCAGCATGGGCGTGCTCTCCAGCGTGTCCGAGTAGATCTCCTTGCCGGTGACCTTTCTGTACTTCTTAGCTGTGGGGAGAGGGAAGACGGTGACCAGCTCGGCCAGCAAACCCTTTCTGCAGCCACCCCCACCTGCCCTGAGGCCCTACCCCCACTGAGAAGGGGCTCAGTGCATCAGCATCCTCCCTTAGCATGCAGGAGGGCCAGCTGAGGGTCACAGGGCTCACCACACCTCCTCCTAGCTGGGATGTGTGGGCACCACCACCTGCGCCCTGCTTTGTCCCTTGCCTCCCACCAGCCGCCTTGCTTCTGCCCAGAGCCTGTTTCCATGGTGCTGGGGTGTGGGAGGGTCTTGGGGTGGGGGTGGGGCATCATGGGGAGCAGGCCTGCATGCCCCTGCTCCTGTCAGCCCTTTGGGTGGCCACATTGTGGCCTGGCCGCAGGCTCAGGGTTGTACCGAGGAGGGCTGGGACACTTCCTGGAGCAAGATCTGACCGCTCAAGTCCCAGCTGGGCCTGGAGGAATGACCACCAGGGCTTCTCTGGGCAGCACAGCAGGTGGCTCTGGCCCCAAGGGCAGGAGGGTGACTACCTGGTCCGTCCCACGGCCGCAGCACTGGCTCCGGGTACATCTGTCACTGGGCTGGCTGGCTGTGGCACATGGCAGCCTCCAGCCGCACCTGTGTCTGATGCAGCGGCACGTGTGTGCAGTGTGGGGAGCAACTGCTCACTGCTAAGACTCGGGAGGACACCAGAGACATGGTACAGGGGTGTGTGTGCGCTCAGGCACATATGGCCTCTCAGCAGAGACCCCCCTAGTGTTCTGGGGCCAGGCAGTGGTGGGTTTGGAGGAGAAAGAGCAAGGGGTCCCGCCCACGCCACCCCCTGCCATATCTGTGACCTGACCTCGCCCCAAAGGAGGGAGACAGTATGGATATTTCACCCATTTAGGGATGATGGAGCAGAATACATGTACCAAGTTTGTCCTCCCTGGGACACCCCCACCCCAGGGGGGGGGGTGCTGTCTGAGGCTGGCCCTGGGTCTGGACTGCTCAGCGTTCCTCCAACATGTACGGGTGCTTGTCCCCTCTGGGACACCCCCCCGGGTGGGGGGGCTGTCTGAGGCTGGCCCTGGGGCTGCACTGCTCAGCCTTCCTCCAAGGGCTGGGGTCCTGGGCTGGGGGCTTGTGCTCAGCAGGATGAAGAGGGGTCTGAGTCAGAGGCCACTTGGGCGGCCCTTCTGGGGCACAGATGGGCCTTCAATCAGAAGTCCTCACCATGCCCATCCTTTGTCCCCGAGGGGCAGTGGCCTTCATGAAGGGTCATTCCCCGCCCTACCATGGACAGCGTGGGCACCGTCTCTTTAATGAGGCAGACAGACAGAATATAAGCTGGACACAAAGCGGAGGGAGGGGCTTTCGGAACACCAGCAGGTGGGTGACCCAACAAACACTCATGACATCACCACACGCCAACACTTCACCTGGCAGCTCCCACGCCGGCTCACCCCCCCACCCCCGCTCGTGTCCAGCACTGACCAGGGCGGCCCGGGGCTGGTGGCCACTTGCACACCATGAAGCCACTCTTATCGTGTGCAAGCCCTGCCCTGAGGCTGTTCAAGTAGCCGGCAGCACCAGCGGGCTCGTCTTTGCCCGTTCCACTGCTGAGGGCACTGTCTGAGCCCACTCTGAAGAAGGGCCCCGCGGTCTCACGCTTCCTTTCCTGCTGTCCCTTCAAGAGCTGGTCTCTTCTGACATCGCCCTGTCTCCCCTTCTCGCCCATCTCGGATGGCCGTCTGCTCCTCAGTGAATCACGTCTGTCCTCTGGTCCTGGGTCACGAGTGCTCCCAGCATCCATCTGCTCCACAGACGTCTGGAAAGTCGAGGCTGTCTGTGACTCCCACGAGTTTGTTGGAAGGACTTCCAGCTTCAATAGGTCGCTCACTTGCAAGGTCAGCAGTCTGAAACCACTAGCCACTCCTCGGGAGGAAAATGGGCTTTGTCCTCCCATGAAGAGTGACACTCTTGAAAACTCCCGAGGGTCGTTCTGCCTCGTCCCACAGGGTGGCCACTGTAGGTTGGAGTGGACTCAACGGCAGTTGCTCTTTCATCGCAGTGGGCAGTGTGCCCGTCAGCTTGTCCCGGCCTGTTCTCACTGCGGGCAGTGGGCGTCTCTGCAGTCTCTTTCCACAGATTGCGCTGACTGCTTCCCGGGCATCCCATCCCGGGAGGTGCACAGTACAGTCGCAATTTACACTGTTTCTAAGAAGGTATTTGCAATAATTATGTTGTTGGTCTTAAAAAATTCCATCACACGATGTGTGTTCTCATTTCTGTCACCAAGGCCATATGTCCCAACTACAGCTCCTTCTTGTTTGCAACGTTACCGTTCTAAATGCCACTCAATGCCCCTTGGTTGCATCCTTGATCACTTTCCAACGGCAGAAGTTGGTCTGGTGCACTTGAGTAAGAGCCCTGTGAGCGGTCTTCGTGGAGCCTTATGGGTACTGCCCTGCTGCTGACAGCAACAGACTCAAGACAGATCTTGACACGTTCGTTTGATGACGAATGAGGCACCATTGCTCCTCAGCTTGTCACTCCGGTACAATAAGCCCCAAGCGTGTCCAATTCAGAATGGCCAGTACCAGTACCTTTCAGCCCACTAATGCCGAGGACAATGACCTCTATGCGTTTCGTTTCTGACAACTTCCAATTTTCTGAAATTCAAACTTGGCACACACATTCCACAATCTAGTAATTACTGGTGACCATTTGCAGGCATTTCTTCTCATCTTGAGTTTTGCCCCACCAACCAATGGCATTTTTCACCCACACCCTTAGAGCGGCTGCTCGGGGAGGCAGCTCTGGCTCAGCGGGTTCTGGGAGCCTTCAACCTGAGGCCCTCGTCTTCTGGCACGTCTCAGGCCGCGCTCCGAAGGTGCTACTGGCCAGTTTCCTGACTAAGGAGACCGCCCAGCCCTCCTTCTGTCTGTCTCGGTCTGGGAGCTCTGCGGAGAGCTGGGCACCATAGGTGGCTCTGCTGGGATCTGAAGTGCCAGTGCTATTGGTGCCAGCACCATAGTAGCAGGCAGGACACCACGTCTGACAGACCGGAACATGGCGGACAGCAAGCCAACCGCTGACAAGTTCCCTGGGGTTTTGTCTTGTCTGAGAAAGTCTTGATTTCACCTTCACGTCGAAAACTCACACTCGTTCACTCTAAACTCTCGCTCTCACCCTCCTCTCCGGCACACACAGCGCTGGGATAAGTTGGCACAATCCTCAGTCCTGGTTCCCTGCCCTCTGGCTCCTGGTCTCTGGTTCTTTGCAGGGGCAATGTGACACGCCTATGTGCCACCTTTTTGTTTTTATTGACCTTGCTTGTTCTCCGAACTTCCCAGACCTGTGATTTTGTATGCCATTAATTTGGGGAAATTGTCAAGCACTGCTGCTTCAAGCATTCCATCTGGTTCGCTCTGTCCTCTGGCATTCCCACAGCATAAGGGTTACACGTCACACAATCGCCCATGCCTGTATTTAGTTATCTCCCCACCCCTTTTCCTCTTTTCAGTCTGGGAACTCCCAGGGACGTCGCAAGCTCACAGACCCTCCCTGGCCTGTCCAGTCTGTGGATGCGCTGCCAGAGCCGTGCATCGTTTCCTCTGGGCGCTGGATTCCCACCATTCCCCTGTGATCCTTCACTCTCAGTCCCCATCTTAAGCTCAACAGCAGCCATCTGTCCGAGCGTATTGTCCACTTCTCCCATTAGATCTCTACTTTGTCAATCGCTGCTGCCCTCGCCCCGCCTCCTCAGACCTCCACTGCCCAGCTATCCCAAGCCCCGGCCACATCTGTCTGAGTTGGCATCTGAGGCTTGTCTTGTGTGTTCAGACTTCTTTCTGTGAATTTTATTGGTGGCCAGACACGATGTGCAGGGGTGAGGCAGTAGTGTGCAGTGCTGGGTGGGGGGTGGGGTGGGAGGCGGGGCTGGTGAGAGCAAGAATGGATTTAATGTCTCTTGTACCTGCAGGTGCCGGTGGCGCAAGATCCTCGGGGCTGTGGGTTTTCCCTCCTGCGCTGCTGTGTTTGGTCCCCCTCCTCACATCACAGCCCTGTCAGCTGCCGTCCTGAGCCTTGTGTGTGGTGGAGGTGGGGGTGCGGGAAATGTGGCAGCATCCTCAGGATAAGCTGCACTCTTTCACGGTGGGTGCACTATTGCAAAATGGCTGCTTTGCCCCTTCCCGCTGCAAGAAAGGGTCTCCCCCAACAGCCCTTCACAGTGTAACCTGGCTGAGTTCAAGGGGCCCCAGGAGGCTGTGCTTTGGAGCCAGTGTCCAGCGAGGGTCTCAGCCTGTCTGGGTCGGCCATGTCTCCAGCTTTCAGGACAGCTTCCAGCCCTGGGTCCTCAGTCCTCTGAAGGACGTACGCAGAGTCATCGGTCAGTGGTCTCTTGTTGGGAGGGGTCCAGAGGCCGCTCTCCACCTCTGGGTGCTCTTCCGTCCCCAACTCTCAGTCCCTGCTACTGAGTAGAACAGTTTCTGTTTCGCATCAGGCTGTGTTCCAAATGACACTCAAATGAATAAACCCGGAGGTGGTTTTGCCGGGACCTTCTCAGAACAGGGTCGCCTGCAGACCGTGGACAAGTGGTGGCGTGAGCTCACCACAACTGGCATGTGTGCTCTGGGACCAGCAATGGGGAAGGCCACCTTCGTTATAGTCGCTGCCCTGCTCAAGCCCTGATCCAAGGTCCTGCACACTGACCTGCAGCGCCCAGTGAGTGGTGGGCCAGCCACGCCCAACAGCAGCCAGGGCAATGCTGGGCCCACCAGCCTGGGGTGGCCTCTGCTCCGTCAGCCCCGGCTTGCTCATCCCTAGCCCCTTCCTCCCTCTCACTTGCTGGGGGGTTGGGTGGGTGGGTGGGAGCTGCAACACCTTGAATCCCTGGGGAAGAGTCAGCAATGGTGTTCAAATGTGTATCGAAGGCCTTTAGACAACAGGCAGGTGAGCAATAATTTTTCTGGCTGGAATCCTGCTCTCACTATTGATGAAATTACTCCTCAAGCCATTGACAGAAGACCCTGCTTTTCAATTTCTTAAGAGGCAATCTGTCTCCCGAGTGAGCAAAAATAATGAATCTGAACAAATTGACATAATTAGTTGCTCTTCACAGTTATTACAACTTTAGTGGCATTTCAAATTAATGTGATCTGGCTCAGTACCCTCAACGGAGACCAGCCGACATCATGTGGAACCGGGAGGTGACACCCAGTGGAGGGTGCTCCTCGCTGGTGACAGGCTCAGTGTCTCCAAGGGCCAGGGGGACAGCATGCAGCAGGTGTGTCACTGCGGATGTGGGGCGCGGCCTTTCCTCCCGGCTCCACAAGTGGCCAGTGTCTGTGTCCGCCTCCCACCTCCCTGCTTCCCTTCCTTCCCATCTGACAGCCCCACCCCCACCCCCGCCTACAGGGGAGAAGAGCCCCCTGACGCTTACCTCTGAAGTCAAACTGGTGGATGCTCTTCAGAGACTCGTGGAGGAAATAGAAGCTTCCCAGGGCCTGCGGACAGAGAGACCTGGTGAGAAGCGCGCAGGGGGCTGTCACCCACGGCCAGAGACGCAGTGCTAAGCGCAGTGACCAGCCTGACAACGGGCCAACCAGGAGGCCGCTCTTCCTTCATCAGCCCTGCCCACCACTGGGTGCAGGAGACCATCGCCCAGGAGAGAGCAAAGAGAGCGGCCAAATGGCTCTGCTCACCCCCGGGGGCCCAGGCAGGTCTGGAGTGGTCACACTAGAGGCTGAGGTAGGACCCAGGAAGCTGCGTGGGGCCAGCCCAGGACCGCATTCAGTGTCCATAGTTGCCCGTGGAGCACCCAGGAGGCTGCACATGGGCGGTGAGACCACACAGTACACTGCTGGCCATGTGCCATCTGGCGGGATGACATATCAGCTCCACAGGTTCCCCTTCGTTGGTGTCCCCGGCAGAGTGGACACCTGGGTGTTGGTGAAACCGGGGAGGGGAACTGGACAGGAGGATGGGCTCCCATGGTGACTGCATGGCCCCAGCCCCCTGAAGAGATGACCTTAGCTGTGTGATGGTGAAGCACTCGGAGACACCTGAGTAACCAGGCGGACCCTCCACCGAGAGCCGTGAGTTCGCTCGCTCACCAGCGCCATCACTCACATCGCAGCCACGTTGGCCAACACACGGGGGACTAATCCCGCTCAACAATCCAGTTAGGACAAATGAACACTGAAAACCAAGGCTGCACCCGACGTCCCACGTTGAACCTGCCCCATCGACAGGGCTCCAGGAGCTCCTTCATCAAGGGCCACCTGTCCCGAGGGCTCACACCACAGCATGCTGCTTTGAGCACACAGTCCCGGCACTTCCCGTGCTTGGAGCCAGGCACCCCAAAGTGGGCGTCCTTGGCACAGCTCCAGCCCGGGACAGGGGCAGGTGGGGGGCTGCCTGGGGCAGGAGCCCATTCAAGGCCGGCGCTCAGAGCAGATTCCAGCCCCCACCTCACCGGAGACAGCCGAGTGTGGGCCTCAAGCCCAGCCACCACCCTATGGCAAAGGGAAGGCTGCGTCCCTGGGGGAGGCCAGGGAACCAGATGCCATCGGGCAGTCTGTGGCTCCCTGGGGTGTCTAGTAGAGAGAGAGTGTTTGTAAATGCCATTAACACCTGCCTGGCTCTGACGTGACAGGTGGCAGGCTGTGGGTAGACACCCGGTAACCGCCGAGTGTGGGGAACACTCGTGTGCTTCGGCATGCCCTATTCCCGAGAGCCTGTAACTGCCAGGTTCTCATCCCAGCCCACAAGCACTCAGGTCTGGTCACGGGGCCCCACAACAGGCATTCCCCAGAGCTCTCAGTTTCTCATCAGCCAGCACCACACTCCTGGCTCCACTGACTGTGATCTCTGGGCTCAAAGGGAGCCCTTGTCCTCCACTCCCTGTGGGCATGCACCTCCCAACCCTGCACCCCAACAGCGTGCCCCCACACGGTGCCAGTGGGCCCTGGCAGCAGGCTTGGCCTGCAGGTCCACAGGAAGCAGCCCCTAGGCCCCAGCACTAGCTCTTGTCTCTGCGTGGCTATGCCACCACACTAGGCTTCCATGCTACCATCTGCCTCTACCTGGAACGGAGTTCCGAGACGGCTGGAAGCCCATGCCCAATGGCTATGTGAGAACCAAGGAGGTGGCCCAAGTGAGTCCAGGACCCTCGCCCCAGGCCCAGAGCCCAAGTCCACACCCTCTGCCCCTAGGTTCGACTGCAGCCTAAGGCACTGCTTTCGTGGTGTTTCCCAGATGCTGAAGGAAATGGCAAAAAAGAACACATTTTTGACCACTAAGGGGAACCACCCTGCTACAAAGGCTACCAAACCCCTTTTTCTTAAAATAATCCATTGAGTAATACATCAATGTTCACTGAAAGCAAAGTTACTGTTGCATTCATTCGATTACGAACCACCGCCCACGAGATGGGGCTTTGGTTTAATCGATGTGGAGCCCCATCGATCTCTCCCTGGGTAATGGACTCACAGACGGCAAACACAACTGGACAAGGTGGTGTCACTGCCCACTTCCTCCGGAGCCATCCTGGGAGGGGCAGGGGTCTGGGCTGCACTCAGCATGTCCCTGTCAGGGGTCCTGCCATCTCTGGACCCCCTGGCACACGCTCACAAGGAGAGCCGTGCACTCCCCAAGCCTGAAGCCCAAGGTCAATGCTGGGTGACGTGGAACCAGCATGGAGGCCCGTCTGAACCGTCACCACCCAGCCCCTCTCAAGCGCAGCCGCAGCGCAGGGCACACGTGTAATTCTGTTTGTCTGCGTCCCGAAGCCGGTGCTAGACGGTAATCAGATTGGTTGTCCATTGTATTCATCCACTTTCGAAGCTAATGACATTCTCTCCCCAGAGTGCAGGGCGGGCAGCTCACAGAGCGCTCCCTGCGTGCGAGGGGAGTCCGCGTGCTGCACACTGGGTCGCTGAACCCTGCCACAGCTCCGGCTGCAGTGTTCCCCATTAGGCAGCTCTGCTGGCAGGGCCAGGTAGCAGTCACCCCAAAGGCAAAGTAAACCCAGTGAGAGCCACCAAGTGTCCCCTACTGGGCCCCATAATAACCCTGCTGACCTCTCAGGTCACCACAGTGACAAGGGGCTTCCAGGGGCCTGGTCAGTTCCCCAAGCAGGGCGGTGGGGGTAGGGTGGCAGGACAGCAAAGGCACCCTGGGGTCTACGGCACTGACTTCAGAGCCTGAAGCTGGTCCATGCAGCACTCCCCCACCTGGGCCCTCTGTCTGTCTGCTCACGGACACCAAACTCCACGGCCATCCTGTGGGCTCTGACTCGTGGCTGCCCTGTAAGTCTGCATGAGAGCAGACCACCTCATCTTGCTCCTGTGCAGCAGCCATGGGGTTCGAACCACTGACCTTCTGGTAAGCGGCCCAGAAGCATGAGACCGCCCCCGTCGGCC